ATACATACATACATACATACACACATATATATATTGTTTTCTTTTCCGGTTTACAGGCCGACAGCACAACAGGATTATAATACGTTCTGGCATGTATTGCGCATCTTTGGCTTTTGCATGTCGTTCGCCAACAGCTGTGCCAATCCGGTGGCTCTCTACTTTGTGAGCGGGGCGTTTCGCAAGCATTTCAATAGGTATTTGTTCATACACATCACTGCAGCAGAATAAGAGCTTAATAACAATAATCGATAAACCGTTTATCGATAGCATAAAAATGTAATCACTGTTACTGTAAGCGTAAGCCTAACCTACAATTTCTCTCTAACTCTAACACAGCAACAATAACGAATCATAAAACACTTGATAAACTCTTTCTGTTTGCTACTCTCTCGCTGTCTCTCTCTGCCTCTCTCTTTCACTCTCTCACATGTCCATCATATATCATAACACAACAGTTGGGATTGTGCCTGAAAGTTTTGGCTGAGTTTTGATTGTGATTCTGATGGAAGTTTTTTTGTTTGTTTGTTTACGTTTTGTCCATTGCCAGACATCAAATGAGTTTTTTACGGCCACGTGCAAAGATATATTTTAATAGCATTTTCGATGGAGAACAAAACAAATATGTAAAGTTGGAGAATATATCTGTAAATAAAACAAATTAATATTTAAAATTGAACTAGATATAATTTGTATATACATACATATTTATTATATATATATGTATTTATGATTAAACTCTTTCTTAATAAAAAAAATAATATAAATATAATATAATATAATATAATATAGTTATAATATAATTATAATATCTAAAAATTTTTTTTTTTAATATTTTATATTAGCTGTCAAATATTCAAATAAATCAAATGTATTTTTTATGTCTATACAAATTAATTTTATAATTTTTTTAAATATATTTTTTGAGCTGTAAAATTATTGTTATAATTTTTAAAATATATTTTATTATATTCTAAAGCAATACAAAAAATTATAACCCGGATTCCACATTTTTAAGGGGTTCATGGCATAAAAATAATAAATATAAATAATATATATTAAAAAATATAAATATTAACATCATATTTTATTAAAATTTTGTATCTATATTAATATTTAGAATCTTCTAAAAAAATAAAAAAAAAATAAAAACAATATATTAATAATTGTAAATTTCTGTCTTCTAAAAATAAAATATAGTTTAAAAATTTAAAAAACAAAAAATATTGTAAAATACGAATCATTTTACAAATTAAAAATATATTAATTTTTTTAAATGTATTAAAATATTATTAAAAAAGCATAAAAATAAAAATTAAAATATATATAATCAATTCTTTAAAATATGACAGAAAATAATTAAAATATGTATTATTATAT